TGGGAGACTTTGGTGCGGAGCGGTGAAGTGCCCCGCAAGGTGGGGTGAGCGAGGGGCGTGAGGAAAAAAGTGGGGGGCAGTCACAGACAGAAACGGGGAGGGGAAAAATGTCGACAGTGGGATTCGAACCCACGCCCTTTCGGACCAGTACCTGAAACTGGCGCCTTAGACCAACTCGGCCATATCGACAACCGCGGGTGACGGTCATGGAGCAGCTGATGCCTGCCGCCCACGCATCACAGCCCTGGAGACGCCGGGTATCGATCCCGGTACCTCTCGCATGCAAAGCGAGCGCTCTTCCATTTGAGCTACACCCCCTTACAGGTGGGGCGAGAGAGGCTCGAACTCTCGACCTCAGGATTTCTCTTGGCTATGAGACCTACGCGCTAGCCAACTGCGCCACCGCCCCTCATGTCTGAAAGGTTCGCAAACCCCCATTTATACTAACATCTCCGTTCTGGCCTGCCATTCCATTCACACCACCTCCCCCTTTCCCTCCGGAGTCCGCCGCGCCTCCGCTGGAGCGATGACGGGCAGCAGGGGTCGCCATTGCGCTTGCCACAGACGATGAGCACTTCGCAATCCCCGCTCACCCGACGCTCCTTCCTCCTCCCCAAAGCGCTCTTATGAGTCCCGAGTCCCTTCATCTCCTGCCATACCATATCATACCTTTTCCTTTGCCGCTCGCACTCGCTGCCTTGGAACTACATCGAATCGAACATGGACAACTGGGTGCATCCATGTCCGACCCTCCACGAAGTCACCGAGCACGCTGCCGCGTACCTGGAGCTGCTCGTACTGGCGTCGGGCCTGCAGAGCAGCGGCCAGCCATTCTCCTGGACGCCCGCCAACCGGCGCAAAGCCCTTGCCTGGGCCTCCCTCCCATCTTGAGCAGGTGTGCCCACTCCTAAACCTCCTCGCGTCTGGACCCCTCATCCCCCGCCCCCAACTCTGCTCAATCGCGCCCTCTGCAGCATGCTCACACCCCCACTGCATTTTCCCTTTCCCCTCGCACCCCAACCCGAACCACATTCCCCAAGCCGACTATGCTCTCGGGGGGTCTGGTTCGCCTCGCTGCTGCTGCGTCGCCAGCATGCGGCGGGCTTCGTCGCATGTGTGTGTGCTCATTTGGGCAATTCTGCTCTGGTGGTGAGTGATGCGAGGTGCACCGTGTTCTTCAGGGTGAGCCAAGTGAGAGTGGAGGAGGCCGGTTTCGATATCGGGCCTGGACAGTGGTTTTGACGCAGTGCAGGTGACAGTTCCAGTGTTTTATCGTGCTGTTCGCAAGGAAAGGATTGTGTGCGTCTGACACATGAGCTTCTTACGCTGGGACATGGTGTGTGTGTGTTTGTGTGTTTTTTTTCAACCTTAATTCTTTAACAATCTTAATATCCAACTTTTATACCTCCATAAAGTCTTGGCATCCAAAAACTCCCTTAGATTCCACAATTGATCAAATTGCAGCAAAACCTTATTCATTCACAAAGGATTTTTTCTTTTTAAACTTAGATCCAATATCTCTTGATTTAGATGTTGGATTTCTTTGAAAATTTTAAGAGATGTAGTCCATATCCTTAAACTTTAATACAGAAACAATCAACTTTAGATTCACTCCTGACTGTTTAATATCTCAAAAATCCTAAAAAATGCTTTAAATTCTAGTTTATATATATTTGAATATAGTTTGTTTTCTATATCAAGAACTGAAAGTTTAAGTGCCACCAATTTTTTTGTGTAGTTTTATAACTTTATAACATGCATTTATAAAACATTAGAGCCAAATCTTTGTCAAAGTGCTTAAAATACAATTATAAACAAAACCATTGAAACTTATATTTATTTTGTAGCCTATAACGTAGTATTTCCAATCCCAATTGCCAATTTTCTTAGTTCTTTGTATATATGGGTTATGCCCCAAATTTTTTGAGCACCAATATTTTCTTTATAAAAACTTCAAATCATTCACTTTTTGCACCAAAACTATATCCAGAAACCTAAACTTGTTCACTTTCACTTCTAGTATTGAAAAATCTTTTATATGAGAAATACCTAATTTCCTAAATACATCTTTAACAACCTCCTTGAAGTCCATTGGGAATGACTTTTAGTCAATATGAATGGAGATTTCTAAAATCCATCTCCATCCATTCACCTAGATGGCCTAACTGTTCTTATGTTTTTAAATTCATTTTTTGATCCTTTTCACAATATGATTTATATACTATGTGTTCTAAACTTCATTTAAAAGAAACAAGAGATGTCAAGGATCACCAATATCTAACAAAGATGACCTTAAATATACAACAATTACTATCAATAGAAAATCAACCTTAAATATAACTATTAAACAAAATCAAGTTTATTCAAACTTCAATAGTAATCTTTTCAAACAAATTCCTTTCAAAGTAGTGATCTTACCACATTTTATGAACTATCATGAAGATTTACAAGAATTCAACAATAAATAGACTATGTAGAAAATAACAAAACATCTTTTAATTGCAACTATGATTGTCTCTTGTTAATATGAATGAATATACCTTCTCAATGTATTAATATTTTTATTTTTATACAATGAATTCAAAGAAATAAAAATAATAATACTTAATATTTTTCAAATTAAAAATATTAAATGAAGTACAAAAATATTTGAAAGTTCAATATAGAAAGATAAATTTGACCATTTTTATTTATTAAAAAGAAGTAAACCATTTTCTACCAACACATGTTCTATAGTTCAAGGTATCAAACACCTTTCTAGCATAGAATACTCTCAAATAGACTAAACTTACTATTAAAAACTAGAACAAGAGCTTTTGTATCGTATAATCACCAAAACCAACATATAATCTGAAACATTCATGTTGAACTGATTCATCAAAACACATTTGAAGGCAACAAGCCACATCCTAAGTTACTCCGAATGTAATTACAAACACAGTATTATATATGGACATGATGGTCTAGCACGAAGAAGTATATTAATGCTGATTAGGGATTTGCTGAATATTTTTTAGAGATCAACGTGACATTACCTCTTCACACTTGGTGGAAAACCAATGACATGGTCAATTACCCAACCAATCAAAAGTGGTACTATGTTGAGAAGAGGTTTGGAATTGTCGTCACAAAATCTCCTTATCACTGACACTGGCAAATAACTTTTTGTGCACAACACTGAATTCTTTACTGAATCATGCTCCATCTGTCGACCTCCTTCTTCGTAATCTCTGTTGGAGGTCACAAAGCCATCAAACCCAGAAGCCGACTGGTTTCTTGTCGTCGGAGTTTCACCTTCCTGCAGGTGTGCACAATCTCCCTCCCGTGAGTTAACTGCATGGGCCGTGCTTTGAGCTCCTGCAGGTCGATTCATCTCAAGATTAGACGTTAGATTTCTATGGTGAAGTGACTGGTAAGCAGAGCCAGTCTTCTATGGTTTATTATAGGAAATCTGGCACGCATTCGAGGTGGCAGGGATAAACACACCCATATGGCAGGAAACGGTGGTTGACGTATGCAAGCGGGCACTTGTTTTTGTTAAGCTGGTAGGTTGTTGATAATCTGTGCAACCATAAGGTGGATTTCAAATGACCCTGTCTGTACAACAGCAAGGCTTGGATCATCAGTACACTGATTAGTCACAACAGGCTACTGGTTGATTCAGAGTTCAGTTAATGACTAACATATTCAATACCTGGTCGTGGAAAGGAAGCCCATCTTATGACTTGCAGATATGAACACAAGGTCATCCTTCAACCCAAAACTGCGTGGTCCATGTTGAAGAGGAACTTGTCGGTGTGTAGCAATCAACTTATTCAAATCCCTTACAGTGGTGGAGATGGGTGGTGATTTTAGAGATTGATTCTATGTTCAGTCAGGGGGCAGGAATGAGTCAAACTTTGCCGTGGTAGATAACCTGCTGTATGGGGGATATGTAATCTTACGTGTAGTTTTGTAAATGTGTCGTTTCATGCAGTGCCATGTGGAAACGTGTGCTTGCTTGGGTCGTAGAAATGCAGCTGTTTCTTCTCATACGATACCCCGCTGAGGGTCGGCTTCATTGTCACTCTTAAAGTCAGCAGTATCAATAAATAAATAAATAAAAACATCGAAGAAAAACTAATATAATAAGCATTGTCTCCCGGGTAGAATCAGTTGATTTCGTCCGCTTCGACTAATCTCCCACTTATAATGAACTATATCAAACTTGACAAGAAAACAATTCTTCGACGTGTTGGCAGGGATGGCGGAGACGCAATAAATCATATCTACGTCACTGGTAACTACAATGTCAGGGGTGATGTTAATGGGCGACTACATCATGCCTGTTGACCAGGTTGCCCATGTGGGATTCAAGTTTCCTCGTTTGACCGGGCGGCTTGGCTAGTCGGTGATCAATCCCCAAAAAGCAAGACATCGATCATACAATCAGTGACTACAATTATTATACACAAGAATCAACATACTGCCGCTGTATCAGTTGAACTTCAGTTTGATGACCAGCTTTGTGAATCTGAATGTGGTAGGGAAGTCAAAGCAAACACCTGGATCCCCTCAACGCGATGTCATGAAATCAAACTATCCTGCAAAGGAGTGACTGCCGTCCACTGCAACTTCTACCTGGAGCCAGCACTTCGCAGCGAACTCCAAGTACCGCAGGCCACAAGGGGCGCAAACAGAGGCCACCATTGCGACTTATCCAGCAATTCACCTCCGCAAGGGGATGCAGATCATCTGGATTTGGGGAAATGAATGGCGTCTCTCGTACTCCATGCACACTCGTCCATTCTTATGGCGTCTCACAGATGAACAAACTACTTCGAGAGCCAGCCTGCGGTAGTGGGTACCATAACCACACTACAAAAATTCAGGCTGTAGAATTGAAGCTGGACGACAGACCTGTTACCAGGATCCCAGAACTCACCATCATCTCGAACACTCGCTTGTAGAAACGACCAACAAATCATAGGAACTCCTACTCAAAAATGTGTTGTTCAGATTGAGTTTTGAGATGTTTTTTGTTTCTACAGTAAGCCTTTGGACCTGGAAGTTCATGATGAATGCATTGTTTTGTTGTGTAGACGAGAGGAGCCTAAGCCGCACTGTGCTACTTAGAAAAGATGTATTATTTTTATAAAGTGAAGGAGTCGAGAGATATGTTCTGAATTGAAAGATGTGCACCCAATGTAGAGATTGATTAGCATGTTGGAAGGCAAGATGTTGCTTTGTGCACAGAATTCATGAGTTTTTTGTTTGTTGAAAATTAAGTTGCTTGCCATTGAAATGAGGGGATATAGAAGTAGATGTATGCAAAAATCGTTAAGTTAAATGCCATTAGGAAAGTCTTTGAAATATAAATTGAATCTTGTAGTATTTTTAGATGTGTCATGTGGCTATAAAACATTTCTTGTAAAAGCTTGGTGAATTTGTGAAGTTACTGTGGAAGCATCTAACTTTGATATTTGATTTATAATTTTTTTAGTTTTTTAAATAAATTTCACGAACTTTTTGCTAACTAGTATATAAGGGCACAAGTCTAAAACCATGTTTAATCTCATCAATACCATTCTTCAATTCTCGTACTGGTTTAGGATTGCCTAATTGATTATACTTGCTAATTGTCATTTTAGTAATTTTACTTTATATATATATATATATATATATATATAATTATTATTTTTTTTACTTTGTAATGATTTTTATTTTATTTTATTTTTATAAGTTTGTAAATATATTTATATTTTAAATAATTAATATAATTAATTCTTAATTACAACATACACAAAATATATTAATTCTAGTTATTATTTAAAATTTTATATTTCAAAAAAATAAATAAAATATTATTGATATTATTATATATACTTATCAATTACAAAACAAGAACTTTAAACAATCAAACTTATTACAATATTTTATTTTTAAAAAAATTTAGAAAGCATTATTTTCTAATTATTTACTATTTTAAATTTATTTTATGATTTTAAGCTACAAAGAAACTTATTACTCTTACATTCAGTATTATTTTTGAAAATTGTAAATACCCTTAATCAATATTGATTTCCAAATAAAATGTGAAATGTCTCAAATGATTTTCAATCCTCATTTTTTCATAAATGATTTAGTAATTGGAAAATATAAAAAAAATACATGTAATAAGTATATGCATTATATGTTTTAATTAAAAATTAATTTTTAATTTTTAAAACATATTATATTGACAAAAGGCATGATATAAAAACATGAAAAGATAAAAACCTTTAAAACTGTGTGTGTGTATATATATATATATATATATATATATATTAGTATCTATACAAAACTCATTTAAACTCATTTAATCAATATGAATTTTAAGTTCTTTACAAAAAGTGATTTCTGCATGAAGTCTAAAAACTTCATATTTATGATGTGATACAGATTCAAAATATTATGTTTTATCAGACACTACATCAATACAATGAAAAGTACAAAAATATGATTGACTTGAAAGTATATCTATTACATAGTTTTTGTGGTTTAAAAATAATTTAATTTGAATTTAATTTGAACTTCAAATTTACAAATAATACTTATTAAAAAATCACATCAAAACCTTTCATAAAACATAAAGAAAAAATGCTTTATTGAAATAATAATAATAATTTAAATTCCTATATATATATATATATATATATATATATATACATCATAAATAATAGCAAAAAATTAATAATAATAAATAATAATACTAAGTATAAGATGTTTTTTTGAAAAATTAATAACAATAATAATAATAATAATACTAAGTACTTTGATTGTTTGTAATTACAATCATTAAAACTCTCTATAAGTTGTTTAAAAATATAAAATGTATTCAGTATTTAGAGTTTTAAATTATATATTTATACACACAGATAGTCATATGCTATAATTTTACATCTAGTGATATAAAAAAATTAGAATATCAAGTTTTTCTTTCTTTTTTTTAGTTTCTCTACCAATTTCTAATCATGATTTTTAATTGACTTACACATTTCCGTATCATTTTGTATAAGTTTTGGATGCAAGATTTACACTTTGTACTAAGAATATTTATTATTTTTCTAATAAAATATATATGAAGTAATTTACTCTAAGTTTTTAATTTTTGATAATTGTAAAATGATATTAATTCAACTAAACTTTAAGTTTAAAATAATACCTAACTTTTGTTAATTCAAATACGATAAACAAATCTTAAAATTTTAGGGTGAAGTAAATATTTTCCATATATTTTTTATTTACGTTTTTTATACTAAAAATAATTAATTTTATATTAATTAAATTAATCAAAAATGCTTAAACATATATGATATTTAATTATGTTTTGATTATTATTATTAATATTACACCACTAGAATATTTAAAATTATGTATAAATTAATAAATAAATGTGATTATATTGTCAAAGAGCAGTTTAAGTTTCTTAATTCACTTAATATTTATACAACATCAAATTCTATGGTCATTGTAGACATGATTTAAATTCTTAAACGTACAATATAAATATCAAATATATTTTATATAATATCAAAAAAATCATTTTAACAAGTATAAATTAAAGTCATTATTTTTTAATATATAAAGATAAGATATCTAAAAATTCTTATACCAAAACAAAGTGGTTGAGATCAAATATAATTGTAGTCTGAAATTTGAATATGATTTATTGTTGTTTGTAATCTATAAATTTAAATCTTAGAATTCTTTAGATATAATATTTATTAATTAATCTAAATTAATTATTTTTTAATATAATTTAAAAATTTTATAAATAAATAATATCATAAAATTTTATAGCATGAATATATCAAAATATACCACTGTTGATTGTTGATAAGATTCCATCAAAGTAATATCTTTCAGAACTTTGACAGGTAGTATAATATTCTATTAAAATTTATTCAATATTATTAGTAGTAATCATAAATTTATTATTTTAAATTTTTAATGAAACCTTGCTAATGCAATATAAAAATTTAAAATAACAACATAATAAAGTAGATTCTAAAAATGATTAGATTGGTTGCATGCATAGAATGATATTGTACTAGCTTTGGCATCATATTCTAAACATTATAGCTTTTGGGTTTTTCAACTTATATCATAATGAATTGATGCTTACAAAATTATCTTTTATGATTGAATTTTTAAAAATAAAATGTTTACTCTCTTTCTTTTTCTCTCTCTATCTTTTTCTTCCTCTTTTTATTTTTTCTCTCTCTATCTTTTTCTTCCTCTTTTTATTTTTTCTCTCTTTCTTTTCTTTTTTCTTTTTTTCCTTTTTTTTTTTTTTTTTTTTTTATAGGTTGAACTTGGCTTTGTAGAATTTTTCACAATTTACAGTTTTCAAAATAAAATCATATATTCATACAATATATTAATTTTAATAATTTATTTATGCTTCAATTATACTTTAATAATCTTAATTCAATCGTGTAATATTTTTTTTTTATTTGCTTATTTATAAGTTTTTATGGATGCTTATTAATTCTTTCAAAAGTTATTGCAATAAAAAACTTACAAAAATATTGATGTTAACAACTTCTCCCTCATTCATAACATTTTTTATTTTCTCATATTAAGAGTCAAGACCAAATAAACTTGAAGTCAATAGATGCAAATGTTGCACTTTGACAAACAATTAGATTTGACTAATATTCACTAATGGTTGATGGTCACCTTGGAAATCTGAAAGTTATGTTTTTTTTTTCCGTAACCTTGGATTCATGCAAATGCTTATCTTTGACGGAGGAGAATTATAAACATTTCATTAGCAAACGTTTGATATATATATATATATATATATATATATATATATATGTGTGTGTGTGTGTGTGTGTACACACACACACACATACTGGAGATGACTCTACAAACAAAAAGAGACTTGTACTATTTATGAATATTAAATGGGCTTCAGTTCCAGAGCACAGTGGCCCTAAAATGGAAATCTAGCAATAGCATCATTGTAAGGTGTTTTCAGCACTGGAATTCTGTAAAGACAGTCATGCTTTCCACATGGAGATTGGTTGCCAGTATGGTCCAATAGGAAAAAAAAAAATACTTCTGCATTCTGAAACAACGTTACAGCATTCTTCAAATGGCTAGGATATGTTAAGAACATTGTAAAATTATCCATTACACACCCAAGAGATCAAAACAACTATGTTGGCTACCATTACCACCTTCAATCACAGATGCGTAATCAGTTTCAAATCTGCAGTGGATACAGCACAATTTAAACTGGTCCTCCTACAACAGTAGCCATGATTTAGTTGAGTGATTCTCTCAACTGGAAACATGTCCAAGTTGCAAAGCGGCATCAGAGGCAAAACCTGAATGAAGCAGTAGTTAGTTCTGTGCAGTATGAGCATTCACAAGACTTCTGAGGTGTGAAGAGGGGCAAACATGTAAATTCAGGCATTATAGTTTATCGTGGAGTTATGTAAGGTACTCACCATGTTCCATCCCTCTTTAATATGATTTTTCATAAATCAATGTTCGGTAACCAAAAACATGTTGAAGGCATAGTAAGAGGATCACAAAAAAATTGAGTGAACTTGGTTTATTGAGCATACACGAAAACAAAATACTACATGAGAAGGTTCTGCAGTAGTATGTTCAGGTATATAAACGGATTGTTAGGTTGAATATTTCAGAATAAGTTTACTCGTAAAAGATATTGCCTTTAGAGTAACTCCATAATCAACACAGCAAAGATACTGCACATGGTAACCAGTACATTTCTCAAGACCCTATGTGAACCAATTTTTAGGAATATATCCCCAGCCTAATGCAAAAGGAAAAGAAACACCTACGCTTCATGAAGGACTCTTTAGTCCTAAAACTGTCTACGGGTTCCAGCCTACGACTCACGTTGCGCACCCCTTAGCAATCTTCCTTGAGGTTCTCATTGGCATGGAGGACCTGATTGCCGACGGACTTCTGAAACTTCAAATGAAAATGGTGTCTCAGGAAGCTTGCGCTAGTTATTAGTTGGCCTCTATATGCACAATAATTAAGAATTACATATATACTATTTTTACATATATTGCCGAGGTGGACTACTTTAATGGCAAACCGAGGCTATGCTAAGACCCAGGTCACAACGACGACAGATTACATTGCCGCAACCGGTAAGTCGAAATTTTTTGCACCTCCAAGGTCGCTGATCCGATTGTTGCCAATCAGTCCCGCTTCTCTCAAGACCAACGTCAAGCCTGTTGATGCGCCTCGCCCCCTCGAAGGTCTTGGCAAAAGTTCGGGTAGCTGCCAATCTGTATTGTCAATCTCTCGAATCTCCCTAGGAACATCAGTTTTGACATCCGTGGAAAGATACTTAAACCTATCGACACCACGGACAACACCCTCGAGTTCTGCCTCCACTCTGTCAACTGCTTGTTTCGCAGCTTTCTGCAACTCCACCCCGTTCTTAGCTTCCTTCATCATAAGCCTAGATCCCGCATTCGCAAACTCACGCTCCATCTCACTTGTGAACTTTTTGTCCCAATCTATGCTTCTCACAGCAACCAAGGAGATATTTGGTACAACGCCGGAGCTAGCAGAATCCCTCTGCAGCTTACGTTGGGAAGCTTCATTTGTAGTCCGTTTGTACGAAGAAAACCACTTCGCTTTCACGTATTCGGGTTTTCTCCACGGCGGAAGAAACATCCCTTTTTTCTTCAAAGACCGCTTGACCGCTTCTGACATCACATTAATGATCTGCGACAGCCGATCTGTTGTTCCAACGTATACAGGAGGGAGAGCTTGATACACAAGCTTGTATTGAGCAGTAGGCCTTGCAATCTCGAATTGACCTTGAAAGTCAATGTCAACGATCAGTCTTGCTTGAGATCCATCCAAGCTTGCAAAGACGGCATCTATGTACTCGTAATCACCTCCTGGAAAGCTACCCGAATGATCCCACCGCGACTTGCAAAGAGCGGCATTATAGCCGCGGCCTCGGAGGTACTTCATTACGGCCCGTCTTCTGCACACAATGCTAGCGCACTCCTTTTTCTCATCTTTACCTTCAGTGCTGTTCTCTTCAGTAATAGCGTCGATTGCTTTTATCACCTCAACTAGAAGTGAAGTTTCTTGTTCAGTGACGCATGGAGCTAAGCCCTGCAAAACTTCAGAAAGATCACCTCCGAGGCTGGACTTGGCATCCTCAGCTTCAAGGCAAGCCTGGGCATCACCGTCGCATGTACCAGATTCGCAGTTGCACCTGGCTCTTCCGCACTTCCCTCTCTCCTCTTCCTCCATGAACTCATGTACCATTGCAGCCAAGCAGTTGGAACTCGGCCCATGCTCGCTTCCACTGGAACTGTAATTCACCTTCTCCACATCTTTGTCACTTCCTACTAGCCGCGCTGTCACATTTTCGGGCCATGGATCCGTTACTTGTTTGGCCCTAAAAAGCTGAGGGCTGATCATAGCAGCCGGCTGGAAGGCGCGCGTATTTATAGGGTGAACCTTTGAGGCTTTCAACTTTGTTGCAGAAGGTGCAGCTCGCTCTGTCTCCTCCGCTATTTTCTCCGACAGCCTTGATGTCCGTCTGCTTGTTTTTGCAGCTGTAACCACAGGCCTGAGACTCATGAGGCCTGGCATCATGGTAATCTACACAACCTCAGTGCGATAGTACTTGACACACCTAATTTGTATCACTTTTCTCTTTACTTACTCCTCATTCTCCACGTCTGCTACTCACCTACTGCTTGAAGTAACAAACTGGGAAGAAGGTAACGAAGGTAACACGAAGAAACTATGCTTCGCCAGACTAAATGAAGGCCGTTTAGGTGTGCATCCCATCCGCCTGACTGTAACTTCAACTCTACACGACGTGTTTCCTCAACGAGCAAGTTAATCCACCGAAACTATAATCTGCACAAACGAGTTAACTTACACTGTCTCGGTCTCTCTCTCTCTCTCTCACACGAGAACCCGCAGAAACACACTGCGCATCTCTGCGAAACCTGATTCAAGACTAAACCTTAAAATCCTAACTCCCGATGGTCATTTCCACTCAACCATCGGTAAGATTCGGCATACAATTGCAAAAACTTCTCTCAAAACTTCCTCCGAAAAACCTCACAGACAACGCACGCTCAATGCCCTCGAACTCCTGGTACGAGAAGAATGATGGATCTCACCGCCTCGAAATCAGTTGAAATGTATGCATATATATATATATACATATATATATATAAATGAAATAACGCCGAAGCGCAAACGTGATCAATAAGAAGCACTTTCAATCTCCTCAACAGGCAAGATAAATGTCTCGAGACGACGACAGCGGGAATGGGGAAGCGAGTGACAACGACTACGTACACACTGGCGCGGCCAAGTCATATAGGCAAACCAGCAAGGAGGGGAGAAGACGGGTCGCAACTCCCGGAACCGGTTGAATGGAACCCCCTGTACGCCCGTGGTTTCCAAAACCCGAACGTTTCACCCCACCCTGCAAGTTACCGGGCGAGGAAATCAGCGGCCGGGCCAGCCCTCATGCGCCCGGCTGGGTTTGCCGCCTGTCACAAAGCCAACACGCCTCTAATCTCTTCATCTTTCAACTTTTTTTGTGTAGTTTATTTAGAAAAATGAGAACTTAGAGATAGATTACCATGTGTATGCCTGTGGGAAAGCCACCAGCTCCACTTTTTGCATAATGTTTTGTTACACAGTTCCTCCATTGTGTCCATTGTCTCAGCTGGTTTCATCCTTTCATTGGTGCTCACTAATCACAAAAATTAAGATCTGGTGTCTCGATTAAGAAGAATTTTCCAACATGTGGGTGGATCTTCTGTACATGATGAGAATGGCAGTGCATTCCAGTATGGGCAGTCTGTACTACAGCCTTCATGGTACAGTATAATCAGCATTGTCTATCCATATTGGTTTTTGAGGGAGAGAGAGAGTTTGGTGTTCATGGCTTGACTGTGATTCAGGAGCATCAATGTCAGTACAGGATTATCTACAATGTTGTGGAATATGAATTGGATATTGTACCACTAGAAGAATATAATACTCCAATTTTGGGGGGTTTTTCTCATTGCTTACCAAGTGAACAGGTGGAAATGTGAACTTAAACAAGGTTAATGACCCACAGCAGACAAGGTTATATAATATTGAGTAGTTTCAACAGAATTTTCACCCATTTAGATACAGCCAATTGGGATGAGACTGAATCACAATGAAGATATGGGTCATGTTACCATTCCCTGATTTTTATCAGCAGCTCCCAAATGGCAGTGGATTGAAAATAAGCACATGTTTTTGCCAGGAAAATTCCCAAAATTTTTTACAATTTCTGGGTGAGGGACCACAGAAGAAATGTACAGTACAATTATTGAAATATGAGTCCTACTTGAATTCAGCCTTCAGGTGGATACATCCATGAAGGGACCCACTTTTCTGAGTTGTGAGGTGATATCCACACTGAATGAATGGCATAGTTGAGGCAAGTTGGGAATCAGTGCTCTCAGACCACAGCAAACATAATCAGGACTGTTGAAGAAAATTGTATGCAAAAGAGACCTAAAAAAAAGCCAAACTGGTTCTTTTATAAGAGTTTTTGTAAGGAGGAACAAAAGCTTGGTGTCAAAGATCTGCATTGGCTTCAGAAAGATCTCAGAGGAGAAGACCATAACTATTATCCTTGCTCCACATCACCAGTGCCAAGTGCCATTGAGCCATTGTAGATCTGTGTGAGCAATGGTCATGAAGGGAGTTCTTTTTCTTACTCTCCCTTTTAAAAAAGAAAAAGAAAAAGAAAAACAATATGCCACCTGGCCCTTTACAAGAAAAATGATTTGCCCCCATTTTGGCCCCACTTTGACTCACACAAAACACATGTTGACTGATGGCATTTCAACTATGTTCTGTAGCAAGGCTGTGTGTCAAACCCTTAACCTATTTGTTTGTCACTTTATTCAATTTGTGTTTCTGTTTATTATCTATGCATTGTTTGTTTGTTTGTTTGTTTGTGTATTCACTCATTTTGACACAAATTTACTTTTTTTCTTTTCTTCCAAGAGCTATGGATTTCATAAGTGTTGTGAACTTGGATGTGCATCCTTGGTCATATTCTGCCTTGTCTGTTGGGGTCACAATCTGACAACACTTTGAGGCCAATCTTTTCTTAACCAGGAGTGACTCACTATGACACACAAAAATGAAAAAAAAAAAAAAAAAAAAAAAAAAAAAAAACCACTTTTCTGATCAAAAATTGGCCTCATGCCAGAATCATGACTGGGACTCTGTGGTGATCATGAACCCAGACAATCACAAAATTAGGAATTTATATAATAGCTTGGCATGAAAGCTTTGTCAAGAGAAAAAAAGGCACAGCTAGGGTGTTGTCATTTAAGATATAAAAGAGAGAGAGAGAGAGAGAGAGAGAGGACAGTGGTACATAGTGATGAGCACATCCATCAGCAAGCACAACTCCATTCAGTGAGTGAGGAAAGAGCACTTCTTCTTCATCTGCAGCATAATGCTCATGGGACAGTGCTCCATTCATAACATTTTATTTATTTATTTAATTTATATCTTGCAAGCCATTTATTTGGTTTCTTGGTTTGAGGGAGTAAGACATCCATTCTATTCTGCTCATGGGCACTTTCATGCTGGTGTGGAAAGTTGTCACAGTGCTGCTTATCTGCTCATCTATGGAGGTTGGTGATCAGTATCAGCTCCACTGTGGGCTCTGCTTGGGCAGGCTCTGTAAGGGGGCAAATTCTGCAGCAGAAAATGTCCACCCACTTCTGAGAAAACTTAGCTCCTGAGTATATTCTGTTGCAAAAACATGCCAAAAAAAAAAAAAAAAAAAAAAACCCCATTTTCCTAATGTTGGATACCATGACATCACCAAAACAAAAAAGTTTGGAAAAGTAATCTGACCGTTTTTGAGGATAAAAAGTTCCTACCATGGTAGTCAATGCTAGAGCATGATCATAAAGGCAATATATATATATATATACACACACACACATATAGTATGGTACTCTCTGAATATTCCTTGAAGAATCAACTTCCCATAATCCAGGGTGTTTGCTTCATAGCCCACAATCTAGCATACTGTCTTATATATGTAGACATGCTGGTTCAAGGTTCAGCAGCACTTTCAGCACAACCACACAAACTTTGTTCCCTCATTATCAATGACAACATGGAGCATTAAAGTAACACATCAGTCTTTGAATGAGGACTCTGCTTCTTTGGGCACAATCCACAACTCCACAATTGGTAAACAGTGTGGGTTATGGGATGCAAGATGGGAGAGTTAGGTGTGGTTAAATTTCTGGAAGTGACTTCTGGAAAGGAAATATTCAGAGTCAGTATATCTTCTGAGTTCACATATTAAGTTTTTTCTATAAATATTGTGTTACCTGGCAACTGCAGTTAAGGTGATGAAACAACTTTCCATTTGTGTGAAAACCATGCACACTAGTGTGTATGTATGTGTATGTATATGTATGTATATAACATTGCAATGTACCATACTTCACAATTGAAGGGTGTACTTCCAGGATCTGAACACAATTTAAGACACAGATTATTGTAGACAACTGCCTGAGTAACCCATGCTCTACAGGATTAAATTTATGTTTTGATTCTGCCCATTTCATATGAAAAAAATATGAATAATAATAATAATAATAATAATCTTTGGTCTTGTTTATCACTTGTATCATTGCATTGTAAATTATCTTTTATTACACAGATGTAACGCAAACAAAACCTGATTATCTGGAGAGTGTGTATCCTAGAGAGTGTAATGTAGGAATACCTTAATCCATGTCAGACCCTTGAACCGACTAGTAGACTTTGTTAGAAACTGTGCTTGTACAAACCCAAAACTGCTTTGAAGAATATAGAAAGATTCTAAGTGGATTCTAAGTCCACCAACAATTGGCAAACTTTACAACAATGAAAGCTATGGTTTTATGTGATGGAGGTGGTGGTTTAACCTGTTTTTACAGATGGTTTTGCTCAAATCTATGACTCAGCTTAGGGGCAAAATGTTAAAACTGCTTTGATCATTTTTATCAATTCAACCACTCCTGCAATTCAATTCTTTTTCTTGTAAAGCACATCAAGGTCTTATTTCTCCACCCAAAAAAAATAAAAATAAAAATAAAAGATAAAAAAAAGATAAAAATAAAAAAAATCCAACCCCCCTCCTCCTGAGAGATAGCTGAAAAACCTGTTTAAGGTATTCCTAGGTTAGACCATGCCTCCTCGTAGAGTAGGTGGAGACGAGGTAGAGGGGAGAGAGGACATTTATGGCATGATCCACTTTGTCGACTTCACCCGTTTGGCATTACTTGGGGAGGAGGATTCTATCGCATGGTCGTGAGTTGACTGCCAGACACCAGCTCCGTTTATCTCCAACACAGTTTCCTCGTTATTTAAATCATTGCGCCATTTTGTTTTAGTGGTCAGGGGTTTCCCCTCCTTAAAATATACTCTCACCTCCTTAAAATTGCTCTTCTCCGTGTCTGGTGTCCACTTAAATAAAGAAAAAAGCCCAAAGCCGAGGTGGAATAACCTCGGAGCATCTACTCAGGCGGAGGGGGAGAGAGAGTGAAGTGAAGAGCTGCTTTGGGGACTCGGTGTCCCTATGCACACGATGCCTTGTGCCGTCACGCGGCATGCACTCCCGGACAGTGTGGGCAGCAGGTGCGCTGTGCTCCCGGATGATGCTTCTGGCATATTCAAGAATGGTCATCTGTCTGTGCAGAGCCTTGGGATGTGACTGGAAGTAGGTTCGGGGAGCATATGCCTGCTGCCTCGGCAGACTAGAAGCGGCGACTCGATGGCCGCCACTGGCAGATCGGTGCGGCATCTCGACGCTGCTCATTGCCGCTGATTGCAGACGGCCGGTCGACAGGATTTTGTAAAGGATAGTTCTGGATGTATTCGGTGGCTTAAATCTTTGTTTTTCTTCTTATTTTGTTGAATTTGTGTTCTAAAATTGAGAGAAAGTGATGTCGCCACTCGAGCGATCTTGGTCCTGCGCAGCGTCGACGCATCTGATCATACTGGAACTTTTCTCTGCAATTTTATTGCCATTCGGCATCTCTTTTCACTTTGTGATCTTGTTTTTCTGTGCTAGACCGATCCATGTAACTACAGGTTTTGAATCTCCTTGAGTGGTAATGCATGATATTAAACGTCGTATTGCTATAAAAAAATACAATGAAATGGCGAATAATAATTAAACAAATGTCAATTAGTCGATTTTTCATTTATGTATATATGTCTGTAAACTGTTCGATGCACAAATCCTCTCACGTAGATATTTTTACTAACTTGAACTATCTAAAAGGAATCTGGTT